GCAGCCGAATGACATTTTTGAAGAGCTCAATAACTGATACCGGGAGCCGAACTAATACTCTAATCAGAAACTACATTGGAATGATAAGAAACAAGATGAAAAGCACACCGCCGTAAGTAAAGATACAATAAAAGCAAAATAGCACAAACTCCAAACAATCACGGCTTTTGAACACCACTGGAAGAAATCCGTAGTCAAACCCGAGATAACAAGAAACAAGCCATTAAAAGAAAAGTTTGATGAATAAAGCGCATAACGGAGAACTACATTCACTGCGATGTTTTAAAGAAAGCACATTTTTCTAGCGTAGCTCATGATACATGGAGCTATGTATTGCTCAGAAATATCACGATAAAACGATACAGTACAATGACTAATGACTAAAGGAAAGAATCTAAATACATTTTCATGGGTAGAGGAGATCATAGTGAAAATCTACGTTCGAAATAATGGGAGAGAGAGATAGCACCAGTAAAGGTAAGGTCATTGACCTGCGGTGGTAACAAGTACACCGACAAGAAAAAGGCAACGTTTGATTTGATGAGTGTAAGGAAAACGATGTGCTTAGTAAAGGGGAAAACAATAAGAACATGTAAGCGGAATTGAATGAGGGTCAGAAAATCGGGCTGTGCATGATTTGATAAACTGGAAACATCAATCTCTGCAAATCGATGGCCAGAAAACCTTAGAATTCTAAAAATTATGATGCAGAACATTTCCAAAACAAGAATTTGCGACTATTTCTAATGCTTTTCATAGAAATCATGCTTACACTAGAAAGAGAAACCTGTGAGTATTGTCATATTAAGAGAGTTTACGAAAATCTCTTTTGACCAACGATAAACATTCTTCACTGTTGTCCTATATTTTCAAAGTGAAATAAAAAGCGTTTTAGTGAATACATACTTTCAAGGAATTGATAATAACAATATCATCTCGGGGTCCTAAATCTTGCAAAGTGTTTTCAAAGAATCTCAACAGAGGCGACGCATCAAGGTAGTTGAGAAAGCTTGCTGAAGATTCGCTTTTCCGTCTTCAGCAATCCACGAGTACGGCGCTCCCACATCACAAACAGCAGAGTCTTAAGATGCGAGATATAAAAAAGTTTTTGAGAGCAAACATCCCACCTATGAATTTGCAGGATTTTATGGCAGCACAAAGTTGGGCAAAACTTGTTTTCCCCAATTGCGGTGGAGCATTTGAGGTAAAAGTATAGATTCCAGACGTTAGCACACCCAACATCAAAATATGAAGCTGGAATACTCCATGTAATACATTTTCTACTTCTAACAATCTAATTTACCTTTTTGTGATCCACCACGGCAGGAGCACTTTCGAGGGAAACAACATGCGCACTTTTCTGCTTACACAACCACGATTGTGTTTCGACAGTCAAGTCATCAGACAATACAATAATTATCTAAAAGATGAAGGGATCAGCAAGAAGGTAAGGTAGTGTGGCTTTTACGCACCTTTGACGTTAAGGGCAGAGCCGACACGCGCTCTACAACGATAACCGAACCAAACTCAAAACTTGGATGCTTGCCATACAATGTAGTAGCGCACCTAAACCTTCATTCTATAACAAGAAATTTATAAGACAGTTTATTGTCATTTCGTTTGTTTCGATAAAGTAAGCCACCATAATGCCATCAAATTTAATCTTATGTATCCTATGATACGAAACAAATTGGCTAAACATCACCTTTCACAAAAATTTATGGAGCAAGCATTAACGATTTTTTGAGGACGTGAGTTGTTTACGTGAAACAGATAAACGAAACAGAAAATGAAAAGGAGTAACAAAAAAA